CCCCCCCCCCCCCCCCCTATACTTTTTGACCAGTCCCTAATCCTTGAATTCTGTGTGCAAGGATTTTGTAGAGATACAGGGCTCAAGGAGCTGGCAGTGCAATGTCCTATAAAGAGGTAAACTATGTATACTGTAGTGTGTTATACATGTATTTGATCAAAAAATACTTAAGGTTTTGTCTAGTCATTTACTGATACAATCAGACAGTGTAAAGGTTAATTCGAGAGGCAAACTTCGACACAAAATCACGTTTTCTTAAGTTTTCACTCGGGTGGTTTATGGTATTGCCGCCAAAAACTCGTATCACCGAATAACAACACTTTTCGCAAACGCTTATTATCTCCCAATGTATCTGTAAATTTTGAGCTGGACCGAGCGTCAGAGATTTAAAGAAATCACGACTAGCAAAATTTGGCCTAAATGTACGAGGTACCATAGCCACGAGGACTTTGAGTTCGAAAGTTAGTTGATTTGACGTCAATACGGGGCGTGGGACTGCAGTTTAAACTACCCGTGTGTTAAAAGACATCCTATACTGAGTAAAGTTTAGAAAAACTTGTAAGGGAACTGTGAATACTCGCGTGATGATGGATGTTAATGTTCTTTAGTCCGTGATTGAATAGTTAAGACTGCTTTGGGTGATCTTTTATAAGGGAACTACATAGCTTTATGTAGGGACAGTCATCACAAGACGAGGGACAGACGGCCGGTCGTTTTACTTACGGGAAGGGATTTCTTTGCGCACCTATACCTGCTTGCAAAATTATCCCTTGAGAAATGAGGAACTACTTTCTGTGAAGGAAACAAAACAAAGAACATCTGACGAGCACTCATCTTACTACTCACAATCAAATGTCAAAAAGTTCGACTTACAACTACCCAAGACAACTGTTTGCTTGGTTTCTTTCATTTTATTACCTTTATGTTACCTTATTTTTTCGCTACAAAACCTTGTCAAAACCACAGTTACAAGTCAGAGGACAGATAGAGTGATTTTACTTGAACTGTGAAACAGATAATAACAACTAGTGCAAAATAGCTACAAATAAACAAAAAAAGACAATTTCACGGGTTGAGTAAAATCACTCTAATCAACATGATGACTAACTATTCATCACAGAGTAATATTTTAGTATCAAATTCAATATTCACCTAAACAGTCCCTTTATTCCCAGTAGACTTATTTCCGCAAAGTCCTACAAATATAAGCAAAGCATTTGGTATGAGAACTATGAGAGGTTTGGAAAAACGGATCACCTGTTATAGTGTCCATAATGCCCTACTTTCAGTAGACTGTCGAGGTCGATCGCCCAGGTCGAAAGATTGATATCCTGATATCTTATGGTAAGCGGAAACTGGAAGACCTTGGGATGTCTGCAAATTGCCCGTACCTAAGGGAATGACCCCCAATCGCCCCCTCCCCCCCCCCCCCTCGCACACCCCTCCCCGGTAAGTTTTACCCTCCCACCCCGCGATCCCCCCGGACAAGTATCTTGAAAAAAAGGACTCTGAAAGATTCGCTTCTTTTGCTACCCAAAAGCAAAAAAATGAAAGGGAGAAAGAAATGTTTTCC